CCAATCAAAAATTATCAATAGCTTTTATGAGTCTTCTTGCTCGTAGATTAATATTGCTCAAGTGGAAAAGCCCAACATCACCATCTCATATTCACTGGATTAGGGATTTACTGTATTTCCTCAAATTGGAAAAAATCCGTTTAATTGTAAGATGTTCTAATGATAAGTTTTCTGAAATTTGGAGCCCCTTGTTCACTTTGCTGAAAGATCTAGATTTTCCTTTCGTGCCAGACTGATATCTCATTTTTTATACTCTTGGTTGCCACTGATATGCTGAATGTGGATATTTCTGATCACCTGTTTGTTTGTTTGTTTTTGTATTGGAATTCACTCTAATTTTTATGATTGCTTATGAATGTTTTATTTTTTGTTTTCTCGTTTTTGTATTGGCATTGTTCTTTATAGTGTACATTGCACTACTGTTTATTATGTGCCTTAAACTATAAATAAACTTTGAAAAAAAAAAAAAAAAAAAAAAGATATTACAAACTAAAAAGACATGGAATTTCGTAATTAAGAATAAAAAAATATAAAACTGTGTGTGTGATTTTGTTTATGTGCTTGCATTTTCTTTTTGAGAAACGAATTTCAGCAGTGGTCAAACTGTCAATATGACGTCACTGCTCACAGACATTAACAATCGAGCCTGTGCAGAGTTGATCAACTTCATTGCCTAAAAACTAAACATGGCAGAGGGACACAACATAAATAACGTGGCTCAATCAAGTATATAACTATATTTTATCATTTTGGTTGTAAATGAATGTGTAAGAAATATTAATTCCATAAATGTGTTCGTAATAAGATGTTTCTTGTCCCTCTAAAGGTTTTTTGGCAGTGTGAGTAATGTACTCACAAATATAAGATTGAGGCCCACAGGGACAGGGTCTGCTACGTCTAACAACCGAGGATGAGTGCAGCACAGAGGTGTTCTTCATGTTGCTCAGGGGCAGTAACAGCCAGAACTATGAATAATCTGGAGGGTTGGGGCTGGTATCAACACATTAGCCTCATTGATTCGGGGCAAAGGCTTCATCAAATGTAAATGCTAAGAATGTAAAAATGTTGGTTTTAAAATAACATGGTAAGCTGTAAAACTAGCCTTGAAGCTAGTGTTAACTAAACACTGCCTAAAAAAATGTTTCTAGAGAGGGACAAGAAACATCTTATGAACACATTTTATGGAATTAATATTTCTTACACATTTATTTACGACCAAAATGATCAAATATAGTTATTTACCTGATTTTGAGCCTTATTGTTAATGTTGTTGCCTCTGCCATGATCAACTCTGCGCAGGCTCGATTGTTAATGTCTGTGAGCAGTGACGTCATATTGACAGTTCACCTTGGAGAGACCCACGAGGGAAAATGCAGTTAGAAGTTTATTAGATTAAGTATGTTTGGCGCCCTAGGCCCGGGAGAGATGCTGTTGAGCGCGGCGCTTGCTCGCGTGCATAATCCCCCCCGGGGCCTAGGCACTGGTGGCGGCAGAGGCAGTAGGCAAGCACGCTTCGATGAGAGAAGGAGGAGGTGGGGCGGCGGAGGCTTGCAGACTTCAGAAGGCCGGCAAGTGGGCGTCTCCGGCTTTTAACTTGCTGTCCTGGTGGTTATTGGTTGATTAGATGTGGGCGTTGCTGGTATGATGAGTCGAGGATGAGCAGGCTTGTAGGTCTGGGCAAGCAGCAGCCGGGTCTACCACAGTGAACTTTCGCGAAAGCTCCATTTTGCTCACTGCTGAAATTCGTTTCCTCAAAAAGAAAATGCAAGCACACAAAAAAATTGCATTCACAAAAACAAAATCACACACAGTTTTATATTGTTTTTTTTCTTAATTATGAAATTCCATGTCTTTTTAGTTTGTATTATCTTAATCATGCATCCATCCATCCATCCATTTTCTACCCTTTAATCCATTTCTGGGTCAGGGGGGTGGCAGTCAGAGATGCCACCCAAGTCTCATAGCACCAGCCCCTCACTGACCCTCTGCAGGTGGTGAGTCCACAGGAGGACGGCTGCTCTCTGAGTGTGAGCATAGCCTTGATCTTTCAGTGGGGGCTTTGGGCAAAGTGGGGTTAAGTGTCTTGCCCAAGGACACAACGACAGCAGTCATCAGTGGGAGTCGGTGGAGAAGGTGCAGAGGTGGGAATTGAACCCACGACCTTCTGGGCTTAAGGCCAATGCTCTACCAACTGAGCTACTGTCTTAATCATCTTAATCATGAATTAATAAAATATTTTTATGCACAAATACCAATAAATATGCACACATTTTTTTTTAGACATGCACCTCTTTATTGACAGTAACCTTACCCCATACACCGAGATCATTGTATGGGGTGCCCTCGCTCTCTGCTCGCCCTCCCCGCACCCACACAGCTTTCGCCCCCCACTACCCCCCTCCCCCTCCCCCTCAGCCGCACATGTGCTAATTGCTCACTTCTCACAATATGGACATTTGCACGTGGATGGCGTGACCATAGAATGACAAAACCGGGAAGCGCGGAGAGGACGAGACTTTCTTTTGGCTGTTTTGCTGAGTAAGCAGAAACCGGTAACGAAGACACAGAAGTTTCAGGTTAGCCTCCGCCACTTGTTTACCTCAGCTGTCGGTGCTAACCAGAGACCTGTGGCTTTTCTCAAGAAAGCGGGGGCCAGTGCTCCGCTGTGATTGGACACAATCTGGACCCAAAACACATTCTCTTCCCTGTTTTATCAAAACTTGATCTAAATTAAAATGACACGCAAATACAAATCTGCGCTACCTTTTCTTCAATAGGACGTATATCCCAATGCACTGCATGGACATGGATTGAATTTTCGTAATGAATACAAAAATAAAGTCTGTTAATGCAGCTTTAATGAGTTGCTCCACTCTAAATAAATAAATAAATGTATATTGGTTATTCATAATTTGAGATAGCTGTAAAGCTGCACTTTGTTAATAGGGCACCTTAGGGCAATTCACTCCTCTGCATTAGACCCATCATGATGCCACGATGGCTTACGTCAGGAGCAGTGGTCGCCGTAGTAACAGTGTAACTAACCCATCTCCAGATGTTGATGCTCGGCTTGGTCAGGACTACCAGAGCTGGAGGATTCAACCTAGTGAGCATGTTTTTAGTGGTAGGGGAAACCGGAGTACCCGGAGGAAACCTACACAGACACGGGAAGAACATGCAAATTCCACTCAGAAAGACCCTATTCCGACCGGGATTCGAACTCAGGACCTTCTTGCTGAGAGACGAGAGTACTATCCACTCAGCCACTGTGCCAGCTGTATAATTTTAAGTTAAATGTGGGTAACTAACTTTTATCTGAAGTTTTTATACATCCTAAGTGTAAAGGTTAAATTGAATGTTATATGAATGCATTAAAAAAGTTATGAAATTGCTAGCATAGAATGTCGGAAATACATTTATGTTTATTTCCAAGTAACAGCAAAATGTATTTACACACCTACAGCATATCAATTTCAAAACGTACACTTAAATGCATTTTCCCGACGTTTTGGTGTGTACCGCAAAGAATTATGGGCAATATCCTTCGCCAGAGTCCGCTTAGATGCAGGCTACGGCGAAGTGTGGCTCAGGGGCGCAAAGGGGGCGGGGCCAAAGACCTCCCTGGAGAATTGATGCGTTTCTGCTGCTGGTCACATGAATTTCTCCAATACGCACTAGAATACACAGGACTTTATACTCTCCTCTTAGTTTGCCAAATGTAAAACTTTATACTTCATTATGATCATATTAAAGATAGAGATACTTGTTCTTCAATGCTAGAGTTAGAGATTTTGTTTTATTTGAATTAGTATAGCTATTGGTCACTTATCTTGTGCCGTGTGCTCCTCATTCCTACTGTTCTATAACTTGTGATCCATCCATCCATCCATTTTCTTCCCCTTAATCCATTTCTGGGTCGGGGGGGTGGCCAGAGATGCCACCCAGTCCACAGAGCACCAGCCCCTCACTGATCCTCCTGCAGGTGGTGAGTCCACAGGAGCTGAGATCTTTCAGTGGGAGCTTCAGGCAAAGTGGGGTTAAGTGTCTTGCCTAAGGACACAACGACAGCAGTCATCAGTGGGAGTCGTGAAGTAGGTCTTACGGTGGGCTTGAACCCACGACCTTCAGGCTCAAAGGCCAATGCTCTACCAACTGAGCCACTGTCGCCCCTATAACTTGTGATGCAACACTGAAATTTCCCCACTGTGGGACGAATAAAGGGTCTGTTAATCTTAATAAAGTATCCATCAGAGACGAGGGGGTTTCGCTTTGACAAACCATCACCTGTGACCTCTGACGAAGGAGGAAGTCCATCACCAGCACAGGGACTGGCCTCCTGCTGGGACTCTGAGGAGCACAGGGACTGGCCTCCTGCTGGGACTCTGAGGAGCACAAGGACTGGCCTCCAAACTGGGACTCTGAGGAGCACAGGGACTGGCCTCCTGCTGGGACTCTGAGGAGCACAGGGACTGGCCTCCTGCTAGGACTCTGGGGAGCACAGGGACTGGCCTCCAACTGGGACTCTGAGGAGCACAGGGACTGGCCTCCAACTGGGACTCTGAGGAGCACAGGGACTGGCCTCCAACTGGGACTCTGAGGAGCATAGGGACTGGCCTCCTGCTGGGACTCTGAGGAGCACAGGGACTGGCCTCCTGCTGGGACTCTGGGGAGCACAGGGACTGGCCTCCAACTGGGACTCTGAGGAGCACAGGGACTGGCCTCCTGCTGGGACTCTGGGGAGCACAGGGACTGGCCTCCTGCTGGTCCCAGAGTCAGGACTAAACATATGGATTTAGCGTTTCAGATGTATGCAGTCTTCCTGAAAATGTGAGACGGGCGTATTCTCTGACTCTGTCCAAATCCATGTTAGTTGAGCTTATCCTTGGACCACTGAGGCATGATTATTGAAAGCCTTGTGTGGTTTCTGTCTTGTTTATAGTTGCCTGTGTATGAACTGTGCTATACAAAAAACCCGCCACAATCTTTGTCAGATTTATTTCTCACAAATTACAGCTCTTTGTGCCCAGAGCATCTTTTTCTGTTGTTTTTCTTGGATTCTTCTGTTCTGTTGGTACTTTGCTCCACTTGACTTTGAGATCAGCTCCAGGGTTTTCCTGCTTCACTTTCTCTCGGAGCTGAAAGAAACAATGGAAAAACAGATTTAGTGTCAGTTATCGGCTTAACGGCAAAACATCCCGGTACGAACCCAAACACTATCACAGTAGGTAACACTGGAGCTCTAGCTCTAACTCTAACCCTAGCTCTAACTCTGACCCTAGCTCTAACTCTGACCCTAGCTCTAACTCTCACCCTAGCTCTAACTCTAACCCTAGCTCTAACTCTCACCCTAGCTCTAACTCTCTCCCTAGCTCTAACCCTAGCTCTAACTCTCACCCTAGCTCTAACTCTCACCCTAGCTCTAACTCTCACCCTAGCTCTAACTCTAACCCTAGCTTTAACTCTCACCCTAGCTCTAACTCTCACCCTAGCTCTAACTCTAACCCTAGCTCTAACTCTCACCCTAGCTCTAACTCTAACCCTAGCTCTAACTCTCACCCTAGCTCTAACTCTCTCCCTAGCTCTAACCCTAGCTCTAACTCTCACCCTAGCTCTAACTCTAACCCTAGCTCTAACTCTCACCCTAGCTCTAACTCTAACCCTAGCTCTAACTCTCACCCTAGCTCTAACTCTAACCCTAGCTCTAACTCTAACCCTAACTCTAACTCTCACCCTTGCTCTAACTCTAACCCTAGCTCTAACTCTCACCCTAGCTCTAACTCTAACCTACCTAGCTCTAACTCTCTCCCTAGCTCTAACTCTCACCCTTGCTCTAACTCTAACCCTAGCTCTAACTCTCACCCTAGCTCTAACTCTAACCCTAGCTCTTACTCTCACCCTAGCTCCAACTCTCTCCCTAGCTCTAACTCTCACCCTTGCTCTAACTCTAACCCTAGCTCTAACTCTCACCCTAGCTCTAACTCTAACCCTAGCTCTTACTCTCACCCTAGCTCCAACTCTCTCACCCTAGCTCTAACTCTCACCCTAGCTCTAACTCTAACCCTAGCTCTAACTCTAACCCTAGCTCTAACTCTCACCCTTGCTCTAACTCTAACCCTAGCTCTAACTCTCACCCTAGCTCTAACTCTAACCCTAGCTCTAACTCTCACCCTAGCTCTAACTCTCACCCTAGCTCTAACTCTAACCCTAGCTCTAACTCTCACCCTAGCTCTAACTCTAACCCTAGCTCTAACTCTCACCCTAGCTCTAACTCTAACCCTAGCTCTAACTCTAACCCTAACTCTAACTCTCACCCTGCTCTAACTCTAACCCTAGCTCTAACTCTCACCCTAGCTCTAACTCTAACCCTAGCTCTAACTCTCACCCTAGCTCTAACTCTAACCCTAGCTCTAACTCTCACCCTTGCTCTAACTCTAACCCTAGCTCTAACTCTCACCCTAGCTCTAACTCTAACCCTAGCTCTTACTCTCACCCTAGCTCCAACTCTCTCCCTAGCTCTAACTCTCACCCTAGCTCTAACTCTAACCCTAGCTCTAACTCTCACCCTAGCTCTAACTCTAACCCTAGCTCTATCTCTAACCCTAGCTCTAACTCTCACCCTTGCTCTAACTCTAACCCTAGCTCTAACTCTCACCCTAGCTCTAACTCTAATCCTAGCTCCAACTATAACCCTCGCTCTAACTCTAACCCTAGCTCTAACTCTCACCCTAGCTCTAACTCTCACCCTTGCTCTAACTCTAACCCTAGCTCTAACTCTCACCCTAGCTCTAACTCTAACCCTAGCTCTAACTCTAACCCTAGCTCTAACTCTAATCCTAGCTCGAACTATAACCCTAGCTCTAACTCTAATCCTAGCTCTAACCCTAGCTCTAACTCTAACCCTAGCTCTAACTCTCACCCTAGCTCTAACTCTCACCCTAGCTCTAACTCTAACCCTAGCGCTAACTCTAACCCTAGCTCTAACTCTCACCCTAGCTCTAACTAGGTCCGATAGGTTAAAAAATGATGAACATTGGTCGGTCTCGATATTTACAACGATATATCGTGCATCCATATTAATAATTTACTCTTATGAGCATTTGATGTGAATTGAAATGTCTATAATTCAGATTTCTGTAATGATTTCAGATTCTAAAACAGGAAGAAAGTACATATATCATTATAATTTTGAAAGGGCCAACAATACTGCATCTGTTAAATCTTTAGCCCCTTGTGAGCCAGTGGAACAACACCTGGACTGTACCTGATGAAGCAGCTTCTCTCTGTTGGCTGGGTCACTCAGGTTCAGTTTGGTCTCGATTTTTAACTGAGTGTTTATCACTGACCGGATTTTCGCTTCTGCAAAACACACAATGGTTCAGATCAGAGCAACACATACAGTCTATACTACAGAAAAGACCATGTTTGTTTAAGTGCTGTATAGATCTCAGAAGGAGAAGGCAGGAGTAAAACATAGTGTACTCTACTCCCAGTATAAATACAAATGTTCTACATATGTTCTGTACATAATTTAGTCATCTTTATTTATATAGCGCCTCTCACAGACCAGACCATGGACCATATATTACCTTTTTGACAGATGAAACTACGCAGTTCTGTGCAAAAGTTGTCATCCCAAACATAGCGGTCAGACATAGTCACACAGTGTTGGTCGAAGAGAGTATTATCAAGGTACTTGTAGTCCCAATTCCTGAATCTGCTGCTGCTGAGGTCCGACCAAAGCCATGTGTGACGGTACAGGCCGATCCAGGCCTCAGGCTCTGTCATGGCTGCCATCGCAGCCAGGTTCTCAGCTGCGTTCTCGATCTGAGCCAGGTCCTGGTACTTCTGTCTGCACACACTCTGGCAGGAGGCCCATGTCCTGACCATGTCATCGAGCAGAAAGAACTGTTTGACACTGGACAGAACTAAACACACAAACACAGTAGAAGTAAACTAAAGAAGGAATCATTACAAAAGTTCAATAGAAATGACTGCCACATTTGGTCTATTTTTGTGCTCATCAGGATAAGTAGTAGTAGTAGTGGTAGTGGTAGTAGTAGTAGTAGTAGTGGTAGTAGCAGGAATAGTGGTAGTAGTAGTTAGTAGTAGTAGTGGTAGTAGTAGTAGTAGTGTTAGTAGTAGTAGTGGTAGTAGCAGGAGTAGTGGTAGTAGTAGTAGTAGTGTTAGTAGTAGTAGTGGTAGTAGCAGGAGTAGTGGTAGTAGTAGTAGTAGAAATTTCCCCACTGTGGGACGAATAAAGGAACTCTTATCTTAGTAGTGGTCATAAGGCCTGGAACCAAAAAACGCCCCAGGCATTATTGCCTCCCGGATTTTTCACATGATTTATATGGTTATTTATATGAGATGTGGAAGCACATTTTAACTATTGAAATAAAGTGCAATAGTCTACATTACAAGAAAGTAATAAACATTGGTCCTCGTTCTATAGTCTGAGTCCTGGATCTACAGCCCGTCCGTCCGTGTGGTGAGGATCCCTGTCTCAATGTGGCTCTCGAGGTTTCTCACTTTTCTCCCTCTGGGTTTTAGTTTCTGAGTTTTTCCTCCGATGCAGGAGTCTGTTGGACAGTAAGTGTCTAATGATGCTTTCAGACCGCCAACGCTGAAACGCTGAAGCCCCGCTCACCAGACGAGCATTCTCTAGTTTTCAGACGCAGAGGTTTTCACACACGAGATGTCCTGACGCGCACCGGAAGTGCCGGAAGTAGCCGGCCGGCTCTGATGCTAACAGAGTTTAGCTTGCGGCTTCTTGTGTACAGATCTTCCACGGACTTTATATAACAGCAGAATGTGTTCACGGAGATGCGCCATACGTTCTTTCATATTATTAAACGGTATTTCCGCATCGGCGAACACACTCGAAGCAGTTGCATAAAGTCACGGGAGCATGACAAAGTATATATTCACAAGCACACAGTCCCCCATTGTCAACCCTGGTTTGAGTTCTGGTGAAGCCTGGTGTGGGTCCTGTTTTGGCTGTTTATGAGTATTTTCAGTCTGCTCGCTCATTCCGCTAATGTCCCCGTGACCACTTTGCTGCTCTCTGATTGGTTGTCGCACGAACGTTCCAAGGAAAGGATGAGCAGAATCCATCTCCTTTGGGCGTAGATTTTTCACTCCTGCTCCTCCCTTTTGACTTTCCCGCCAAGTCCGTGCGTGTCTACCATAGACTGTATATATTAATGGACAGAGTCACGCCTATCTCCGCCGTTCTAACTAATGGGCCAAAAAATGTGCTCTACTGGAGCAATCCAAAATGGCCGCGAGTGGTCCCGCCCACAAGAAAATTGTGAAAAAACACATCTGTGCATGAGTCAGCCGGAGCAGCTCCATTCATTTGAACGAGAGACTTCAAAAATTCACAGCGAGTAAACTAGAGTGGACCAAAACACCCCCCTCAGCATTGACACACATGTGGACCGGAGCTTTGGGCCAAGAGCCAACTTTTGGTCCATCCTGTAATGACGTTTTTGAGAGGTCTGCCAACGCTATATGTTAGCATTGGCTAATTCTACTTCTGGGTCCACCCCCATCGGCCCGGAGTGGTAATGCAGCATGTCAGCGCACGTCATTTTGGCCACTTTTGAGCTGGGACCCTCCCCCACTGGTGTCTACCAGACACCACATTGACCACATGTGTGTCAATGCTGAGGGGGGTGATTTTTTGGTCCACTCTAGTTTACTCGCTGTGAATTTTTGAAGTCTCTCGTTCAAATGAATGGAGTTGCGCCAGCTGACGCATGCGCAGATGCGTTTTTTTCTCAATTTTCTTGTGGGCGGGACCACTCGCGGCCATTTTGGATTGCTCCAGTAGAGTAAATTTTTTGGCCCATTAGTTAGAACGGCGGAGATGGCGTGACTCTGTCCATTAATATATACAGTCTATGGTGCCTACTGAACAGTCAATCCGTGCGTGCCGAGAGGTCTGTGCGTTGTGACGCTCGAACGCAGGTCACCATAGACTTTGCATTGAAACCCAACGCAACGCATGATCCGGTCTGAAAGCACCATTAGCCTCCCACCCACAGGGAGTCGACCAAAACACAGGAAGACAGTTCCAGGTTCTCTGGCTCGCCGTCAATTAGGTTCCCAGCAACGGGAAACCTGACCAGTCCGCACACACACACACAACTGTTTAGTCTTGCAGCTGCTGCCTTCTCACTCTAGAGTTATTGTGAAAAGTGAGAGCAGCTTTTAAACTGTACTAATTAGGGAAGTGGAATCAGGTGTGTGTGTTTTGGGACAGGTGCTATGCTGCGGCTAATTACCAGAGAACGGGAAAACCAGGGATGGATTGAGTTTAACCCTGGGTTACAAAAACTTTATACAAAAGCTTAACTCCGTTAGCATGAAAGTCCGCCCGCTACTTCCGGCGGGCGCCACCACAGGCCAGGACTTCTGGTCTGTAGACCCCTGCGTCTGAAAATTAGACAATGTGCATCTGGTGCGAGAGGCGTCAGCGGTACAGTGTCTGCTGTATGAAAGCAGCTACAGACTGTCATGTTGATTACAGATTAAATAAACATGTAATTCATCCATATTAACAAAAAACTAAATAAGGACAATGAAACCGCACTGTTCAAACCATAGACTGAATGGAGTGAATAGGGCGGATCGCTGTTTGTAAACAAAGCGGCAAATCCCGCGCATGCGCGTTGCACTGGTGGGCAAAAGAGCGGTAGAAAACAATGGATCCTGAAGTGTCAAAGTCAAACACGCAAGCAATAGACCCGTTATCTGACGATCTGAAATTGTCAGATTATGCTTCAAAGCTACCAGTCGATGCACGAAGGCGTTATGTTGTCAAATTGTTGTACAATTTTGGTCAATGCATGCTTCCGGACCCATATCTACTTGGGTCCGAGTGGAGGAATGACGCTAGCCTGTGGCCAGAGATTGAGTATCCAGACATTTTTGCCTATCTCATCGAAAGTCCAGGACATTATACGAGGGAGACACTGAAAGCCTACAAGTCTCTTGATGCATACAGGTAATTGTAATACACAACTTATAAATAATGTTTTCTGGCGTTAGCCTGTGCTGCGTTTACTCGCCAGGATTAGCCACATTAAGCTACATCCTGCTACTGATCAACAAGTTGTAATGTATATTATAGTGGTCATGAGAATTATTTATGAATTACTTGATTTTAAATGTTTTCACAATGTGGTATTGAATAATGCTATATTTTCAGGTTTGTCGTCAGTGGGCACGTCCAAATGGTAGAGTACCATCAAATCAGCGAAACATCCCCATACTGCGCGTTAAGAGCCAAGGTTACTCCATCCCAGCGTGTGACAGAGAAACCGCATCAGCCATGGGTGTACCTCAACAAAAATACTGCTGCTGTGTTCTGTGCCCATTGTACTTGCATGGCTGGGTAAGTCAATATTAGTAACGTTTCTCCAATTTTGACATGCATTTAAATAAAAAATAACATTAGTAGAATTTCTATAATCTTCTGTTTTTATTACTGTGTTGCTTTTCTGGTAGACATACTATTTAAACACTTATGCATTATGTTTATTTATTTATTTTAGCCTGGGAGAGGTCTGTAGTCATGTGGCAGCCTTGTTGTTCAAGATGGAAATAGCAGTCCGCCTTGGTTTGACATCACGATCCGTTACAGACGAGAGCTGCAAGTGGAACAACACTTTTCGAAAAGAGGTAATAATTCATTATAAAAATAAATAGTTGATTCTTTGTGAATATGTATTTTTTAAATTACATTGAATAATCAGTGTCATTGTATGATGTTGCATGGAATTGAGATACCATTACGCCTTTCGATTTAATAAAAAAAAGCTTTGACATTTGCAGCTGGAGCCCGTGACCATCACCAATCTCCAACACCTGATAAAGGGTAAGAGGACCAAGCCAGTACCCTCCATTGTTCCATCTGGTAAAGACAGTCTGCCTGACCTCAGCATTCTCCAGTCACTTCATGCTGTCTGCCCAGATGCAGTTTTCTTTACAACAATTCCTCGCCTGGATCCAGAAGAAACAGACACGGAATCAGAAACTGAACACCTCAATGAAATTGTCCGTCCCCTGAGAGACCTGTATCAGGAGCAGTCAGAGGAGGTCAGTGACGACAAACTGAAGATCATCTGGGCCACTTACCGATGCACAGCTGAACATGCAAAGGAGTTGGAGCTGGAAACAAAGGGGCAGGCTGTATGTCCATTGTGGTTTGAACAAAGAAAAGGACGAATCACTGCGAGCAAGGCCCATGATGTTCTTGTGAGAAAAGACCAAACAGACCCAGACAAACTTGTACAGCTAATATGTGGCAGCAAGTGTTACGACTTGTCAAATGTAAAGCAGGTCAAGTGGGGAGTGAACAATGAGGAAAAAGCTAAATCTGCATATATCAATCATGTAAAAAACTGCCACAAGAACCTGAACGTACAGAATGTGGGTTTACTGGTGGACCACGAAAATCCATTCCTGGCAGCCTCCCCAGATGGCCTTGTGTCATGTGACTGCTGTGAGAAGCGACTGCTTGAAATTAAGTGCCCTTACAAACACAGGGACAAAGTCATCCAAGATATAACAGATAAGGACTTTTGTCTTTGTTCTGACTATAAGCTTAAAACCTCACACCGATACTTTACACAAATTCAGTTACAAATGTACATATTCAAACTGATGTTTTGTGACTTTGTTGTATACACAAACAAGGGGTTTATTGTGGTCTCTATTGGTTTTGATGTAGAATTTTCTGCATTGTTAGTGGAAACATGCAAAAGATTTTTCTTAAAGTTTGTATTAAAAGAACTTGTAACCAGGAAACTAGAAAATTTAAAATCTGTGGATACACAAACTGAGGTTGTTGAGGCTGGTGGCACAAAAGTGTGGTGTCTATG